AGAGTCAGCTGCATCCAGCACAACACACAGTTCTGGGGGATGAACCACACCAGAAGGCAAAGCCTAAGCAGATCTGAGTCAAAAGTAAAATTATCCTACCTGAGCATTGAGGGCTGCAGCTTGTTGGAGCTGTGATTTGCTCACAGCTTGGCTGAAAGGGTCCTTCACAAAACGCGTGTTTCGATGCACAACTTCCCTGGGCTTCTTAAAAACTTCACTCTCATCAGGTACACCTTGAAAAGCAAACTGCCTTTTAAAAAAAGAGTTCTTTACTTCACTGGTAGACAGAAATTATCAATTGTACATTCGCAGCCAAAAAAGAAAAGTACATTTACAAAAATATGTATTTCTCTATAGCAACAAACAGACTAACAAGTCCAAGGAGGATTCCTTGAGCAAAAGCAGACAATGAATGAAGATGACAACAAGTGCTCATAAAGAAGACAGACCAGGAAAGAGCTCTGGCTACTGAAAACAAGTACTTCTGTAATACAGGTGAGCTTTTCAATGGCAAATAGAACATGATCAAACTTTGGAATCAGAGGGCAAGAAAAAAAGGAAAAAAACCCACTTTTTAAACACAACCTTACAGAAGAAAAAGCACAGCATTACCTTTAAGAGCTGCTCAGGCACATACAGAAATGCTGTAAGCACTGCTTGGAGCCAATGCCTCACCTGTAGGATAATACATGAGAGTGTTTCGAGCTGTGTATTCCCAGGTATCCAGCCCAGCTTTCACATTCTCCAGAGCTTGCTGCTCAGCTGAAGGAAGTGCCAGGTTTTCGTTTTGTCGCTGAAAGGGCAATGGAAAAAAATTTTAGAAGGTAAAAATCAAAAAAAAAAAGTCTGAAGCAGCCTCCTACAATGTTTTATTCAGGCAGACAAAACTCGGAGAGCTCAGTCACAAGCTCAGCCACCTGCCCTAGAACACTCTGCATAAGGTATGGAACAGACTCTGAGGGATAGTTTGGATAAAAAAATAACACTCCCTCAAAACAACAGCAGCAAACACCCACATGTCAGTGCCAAACTTCATGAAAAGGCACTGCATCCCACATCCATCAGTGACACATCTGTGCCAGCTGCCCACTGCTGGTGTTAGACTGGCAAGGCAGGCCCAGAGCAGCACCTGGACCTCCCCTGCAGGCAGCTGAGGAAGGCAGCACAGGCAGCCATGCTCATGCAGCTCTGTGCTTCAGCAGCTCAGTGGGCTCTCGCTGGTAACAGAAAATGGAAACTGAAATAAGGCAAACTGCAAAAAATGAGAGGCTGATGGACAAACAGCAGGAATGTGCTCAGCTGCTCTCCCTGGTGCTGCTGCTTACAGAAGAGGCTGCCAAGGACAGCAATACACTCTGTGCAGTGCTCTGCACTCTCAAAGCTTTCAGAAGAGACAAAGCCTCAGCAACTAAGTCAGCACTGCTCTTGTGTGACAGAAACAGGACTGCACAAGGAAGCAGAGAGCAGTCACAGCCACGGGGAACTGAGCCTCAGCAGAACCACAGTGAATGGCATTTCCTGCTGAGGCCCCATGGAAGAGCAGAGCCAGAGCAGAGGCTGCTCCCTACCCGGGTGTACTCCTCCTCGGCGCTGTACAGCCAGGCGTGCTTGACCTTCTCCTTCTCCTTGGCCACCTCCATGATCTGCTCAAAGGAAGCGTTGTCCTCACTCGTGTGCTGTGCCAGGAACGCGTCCAGGCTGGGAAGAGCATCTTTGTCATCCTTTTCTGCTTCTCCTACCAAGAGAAGGGAAGGAGCCTGAGGAAGGTTAATGCCTCCCTTTCCAGGGGAGCACTGAATCTCCCTTAACCCTCCTGGCAGCAAGACACACCAATGACTGCCATCAAGCTGGGCCAAGACACAGTGGTGCAGTCATTAATCAGGTTTGGAACACATAACCAGCGTTCAACAAACCCTTTTATGGCATTTATAGCAACTTATTACCATCAAGCTGGGCCAAGACACAGAGCCACACACAGTGGTGCAGTCATTAATCAGGTTTGGAACACATAACCAGCGTTCAACAAACCCTTTTATGGCATTTATAGCAACTTATTTTAAAGATGAAATGTACAAGTGGCCAGCTGCTGGCAGGCAATTTATTTTTGTAAGAATTCAGCTAGAGAAACATAATTCTCTTACCTTCCTCTCCAGTCTTGATGCCAGCTTTAGATTTATTTCCCACTGGAAGGCCACCTGGATGCACTTCTGGGGTTTCAAACGTGGCTGGGGTAACATCTGCCACCAAAAAAAATGCACCTGGTTACTGAAGCACACAACAGGATTTGCTGTAAGGATGATGTACCAAACAAATCACAGGAGGCACATCAGGAGAATAAAAAATAAATTAAAAACTTGTAAAAAGAACTCCACAACATTCTATTCAATTCTGTCTCAACCTCCAAACAAGATTTTGGCCTCATCTAAGACATTTTCTCCTGCTGGGAGAAATTCCCAGGAGAGCCACAGCCCAGTGTATTTGTCACCCTGCACCCTGCTTGTGCCAACAACAGCAGCAGCAGATCAAACTGAGCCCAGGCCAGAGCCAGCACCTGCAGCAGGGGAGGAAGGGACACCTGGTGACATGTGCCCTTTGCCACAAGAAAGCCACTCACCCAAACCCCACTGCAAGAGCTCAGCCAGGGGCTGGGCTTTAGGAACACCTGAACTGGAAAAAAAACATAGAACAGAACACTGGGCACCTGCTGTGGGAACCTCTGATAACCACGAGCTCCCCACACCTTCTGTCCCTAATACATTGACATCTCAAATAAAGTACAAACTGAAATAAGGGTTCAAAACACAGCTCGGGATTTCTCACAGCAGAGAGCACATAACCTTCCCAGGGAGCAGGAACTTGGCAAAAGGTGCCCACAAGGAATGGTTATTAAAAGGCTGCTTGCCCCAAAGCCCTTCCCTTGAGGAGTTATGAGACACCATCAAAGAGAAATTCAGCATGAGCCACCAGACACTGGCTGCTGCCCAAACTGGTACTCTGAGCTCTCATGCAACAGCAGCCTTGAATCTTTAAGATAAGCATTGTCTACACAAAGTTAGATAAAGAGCAGCAGTATCAGATACAAATCCCTCATGCCCCACAGAGCCAGTTCTTACAGGGTGCAGGTGTGTCCCTCGACGATTTGTTCAAGGAGGAGCCAAACTTGATAGCAATTTGTCTCATTTTCTCCAAGTCTCCGTTTTCCTCAGCCTCCAGATAGTCCTTCTGTGCTCGCAGCTTCTCCACATCGGGAAAAAAGTCTCGCTGGATGATCTTCTCTAAGCTCTACAAGACAGAGACAACTGCAGCGCGCCGCTGGACACCCGGAGCGCTCGGGGCCAGCAGCAAAGTCACGGGCGTGGCGGAGGCTCCCGAGCCCGGGCCCGCCGCCTTACCTCGATGTAGGCCTCCTCATCCAGGATCTTCTTCGGCTGCCTCGCGGCCGGCGACACCACCTCCTTCCCCGTCACGGCGACGGGGCCCGCGGCGGGAGCCGGCACCAGAGCGGCGGGAGAGGCCGGGGGCACCGGCATCGCCTCCATGGCGGCGGAACCGCTCCGCTCCTGCTCCCGCTCCTGCTCGGCCGCCGCGAACGCGACCGGCAGCGACGTCACACGTCCGCGCCCCGGGATCGGAATGCGCGCCCCCTGCCGGCGCGGAGGACCCGGCCGGTCCCGGGCCGTGACAGCGGCGGCACCGGGTCGGGATGGGAACCGGGATGGGAACGGGGATGGGAACGGGATACACACGGGATGAGAGCCGGGGATACACACGGGAGGGGCGGCGGGCGGCTCCCCCCAGCCCCCCCCGGTCTCTTCAGCCCTCCTCAGGAGCCCCGGGCTGGGGGAGCGGGATCCCGGGCCGGGTGCCAGGGCAGTTTTATTGCTGTCGCTGTTTCCCAGCCCGTGGCTCTCCTCGGCGCGCCGGGAACACGGGCACGGCCCCTTGCGAGCGGGGCTGGCTGGCCGCGGGGCTGAGGCGGGCCAGGCCCGTGCCAGGCCCGTTCCCGGCCCGTGCCAGCCGCTCACCGCCGCGCGTCCATCGCCTCTCCCCGGCTGTGGGGACACACCCGCCTTTCTCTGATATAGAACTAATCGCTTGCCCAGCAAGTTCAACCCCAAAAGCAACTCTAGATGCCACTGAGGTGCTGCAAACAGGAAACGTTCATTTGCAGGATATTTTGCAAATCTACATCAATAAAACAAGCACAAATACTACGTGCACAGAGCAAAGACAAGAAGGGGAGTTTCTCTTTCTCTTAAAGCACACACATTTAACACTGGTACAGCTCGGTGCTTTGCATGTCCTGCCTGCCCAGGCATTTGCCATGTGAACTGGGTTTGGAAGAGGCATGTGACAGTGCTGTGTCTGCTTTTACCTGTCCTCCCCCTGTATGAACCACAGAGGTTCCCTGTTGCTGCACAGCCCCCTCGGGGTGCCCTGTCAGCCAGGGCAGTGGGTGCTGGGTGCTCTCTGCAGCCCGTGGGCACTAGCAGCTCTCCTTGGGGGGCTGCCTGGGCTGCAGGGTCAGTGCTGAGGCAGTCGCCCTCTTCTGATGCCGCCACTTCGCCCGACGGTTCTTAAACCAGACCTAGAAAGTGCAAAACAAAAAAGGGCTTTTGCACGTCAGGTGTTCCTGGGAGGAGGACAGGCAGTGGCCCTCCTGCGCTGTACTGTGTGGGCTGCAAGGTACTGTAATAGCAAGGTTTGATACAAAATGTAATCTGTCGCTCTGCTGCAGTCTTGCTCAGGTACATGTGAGGGGCACAAGGTTGTTGGGACCCCGCCATGACAAATTCAGAAGTCACACAGATCACTTAGGTAAGGAATACACCCTTGGGTGCAGGGGATGAGCAGCAGAGCTGGGAATGTCTGTGTGTGACAGGTGATTCTGGGAGAAAGGCACCATGTGAGTCTGTGGGACTTGGTGCCAGTACAAATTAGCCCAGCTGAAATGGTTTACATTCTTCCATTGCTCCCCAGATTTAAACTTTCTTTTGTCAAATGCACAAGGATGGATGTTAACATGAGCCATGGGTCTGCAGCTCCCCAAAACAAGACAGACAATGCCCCGGTGTGTGTTCCTGGGGCTGCAGGCACACAGGTCTCACCTCCACGCGCTCCTCCTTCAGGTGGATGCGGTTGGCCAGGTGCTCGCGGGTGACCACGTCCGGGTACTGGTTCTGGTGGAACAGCGTCTCCAGCGCCTGCAGCTGCTCCTCGGTGAAGATGGTGCGGTGCCGGCGCGTGCGGCGCTGCAGCTGCTGCAGGGCCTGCAGCTCGCCCGCCTTCTGCTGCGAGCTCCTGCACGCCCTGAGCGCCGGGCGGAGGAGCCGCACGGGCCAGGGGAGCCGGGCGTCTGCCAGGGCACAGCGACAGCGGCAGCGTTACAGCGTGCGGCTCAAACACTCCACGCTCAAGGCAGCTCGGGCAGGAGCTGCGTCCCTGCTACTGCCTGGAAGGAGGCAGCCAGTCACTGGAGCGGGTGGCAAGCTGAGTGGCCACTGTGCAAGTGGGAGAAGAGTTCAGGGCATGACTCTGGTGGTGAGCACTGGCTGGGTTGTCTTTGTTCACTTACAGCTGTACCATGGCCAGCTTCAGAAAATAACTGCAGACTCAGCTCAGCAAAGATCTGTGTTTCAGTCCTCACACAAGGCAATTCTGAACTTTCAGGATGCTCTTGAACTGCATTTTTAAGGGTTTTCTACTTTTTATTTTCCACAGTAATTTTGTTAGATGCAGCCCAAACTCTTTTCCTTAAAGGATAATGAGGTTCCCCAGGGCTGGTGTTGTCAGGAAGCACAGGCACAGCTCTGCACATGGGCAACGTGGCCGTGGGGCCCCACACTCCACAGAGAGCTTGCACCCCTAGAAGCATCATTCTCTCAAGAGTTTCACACTAACCAGTAATATCCAGCAACAGTCAGCACCCTCTGCTTTTCAAGCCTGGCAGCATTTCAGGTGAAAGTGCCCACTCTTGGGAGCCCTGCTGAGAACAGCTCGGATTGCTGGGCCTCGGGCCCAAGACCACCGTGCCCAGATGCCACCTTGTCACTTCACAGCCAGGTTTTCCCCTGCCCACAGCACTGGCACCAGCCCCTCTGCGAGCCCCACACCTGAACCAAACCCAACCCTCACCAGCCCAACACTCACCCAGCCAGGCTGGCAGGTCCTGCAGGGAACGGGCACTCGTGTGAGAGCAGCAGCAGCAGCTGCAGCCTGCCCGTTCCAGCTCTTCCTCCTCTTCCTCCTCCTCCTCCTCCTGCAGGGAGCTGGCTGGGGTGGTCTCCAGCTCACAGAGCCTCTGGGGTGTGCAGTCCAAGATGCTCCGTAGGCACAGTGGCACCAAGACCCGGGGGCTCTTCTCCACGGGGCTGGAGAGGATGTCCTCGATGCTGAACGGACGTGGCTTCTTCAGGCCTCTCCTGCCAGCCTCAGCCCCTGGCACTGGCTCTGCAGACATCCTGTGCCAGCAGCAGCAGCTGGGGAAACAGGCAGCCCAGCTGGGGGGCTCTGCTCTGCCTTCACTGGCTCCCTAGTGGGGGTTTGCTAGGGAAAGGACGGCTTCTGTGGTTTTTAGAATGGACTGGCAAAGCCAGAACCATGGCTTTGTCTTGGTGTTTCAAGTGACTGTCATTCTTGCAGCTGAGTTTTTATTTTATACACACGCACTCTTTTCCTCCCTCTGACCTATCTGCGTTATGACTGAAGCCACTCTAAATATATATATAGAGAGAGATATAATCCCTTTGGAAAGAAAACCGTAAACCCTCCTGCAAATAAAATAAATTCTAACTAATCTTGGCAGCTTTGTGAAGGGTTAGTGTGAATCTAAGATTTAGCTAATCCCACAAAAATGACTGGAGAAGGAAATCTGATTTCTCCATCTCGGGTGTAGATTTGAGGTGGTTATGATCTCCATTGTGCTGCAGCCTCCTATCCAAGGAAGGGGGAGGATAGCTGTTCCCAGCCCGGAAATGGACCAGAGGATTAACTCCTTAAAAGAAGCAAATTATCCCTTTCTCTGGCCAAATGAAAGCTTTCCCATCAAAAGAGAGCTGTCATATCATACAATATGAGAGAAGAGAGAGTTCAGCTTAATAAAAAATATTTTTTAATGACAGCACAGCCTTTGGCTTTGCCAGAATTCTCTGTGAAAGTTGATTTATTTTCTGCTGAAAGCACAGAAATTGTATTTTCCCTCCTTCCCCTTTCCCCCATCTCTGCTGCCCTAATCACTGTAATAATGCAGATGCTTTGCATGTATCCAACATACTCTTTGTAAGGATTCAAAGCCCTTAATAAATTAGATTACGAGCTGCTTGCAGCAGCTCTGCACCACAGCTTAGTGGCATGTAACCACCTCCCATGCAGCTGAGCCATGCTCTGTGTGGGGAAGGGAGGGGAGGATTGTTGCTGCTGCTGCCTCTGTGTGCTCTCAGTGAGGCCCCACAGCCATCCAGGCAGGAGTGTGGACTCACATATCCAGAAGTGTGGACCCAGTACCACAGCCAACTTTGCCAAAGCCAGTTCAATTCCCAGCTCCTGCCCTGCCAAAGAAATTGGGAGAGGCCATGGCCAAGATTCAGGATGGGAAAGGAAGGCTGGCTCTGCCCCTACAAGGGCAAACAGCAAGGCCTGGCAGCTGCAATCCACAGGAGGAAAGAGAACATCTTGGATCCTGTGTTTTTAACTGACTGATAGCTAGGAATAAAACAGAGAAGGTGTGGTTGAGATCAGGTTGCTTAGCAAAGTTGAAAGCCAAGTTCCCTTGCCCTCAGTGCAGTTTAAGCCAAGGTGAGAAGCAAGGCCTCGGGAGCTCAGGTGGGGAGCACTCCCACCTGGTGTTTCCTTGCAGTCCCACCCGTGGTACACCAAGGAGATGCACAGGTGGGTGCTGTGAAACCACTGCACACCAAAGGCCCTTATGCTGGACAGCTCAGCAATGCCCCCAGCATCCTGCAAAACTTACAGCCACTCCCCAGGAGAGCCCCTCTCAGCTCCCTTCTCCTCTCCTCATCCCTGCTCACTGCCTGCCCTTCCTCACCTGCAGGTCCCCCAGTGCTGGGAAGAGGTGCCCCATAGCTGTTCTACTTGTGACACTTCAAACTGCTCTTTTTCCTTCCATCCCGTTATCTGCCTCTCCTTCAGCTGTTCCAATGGTGTAACTTGGATTATAACTGAGCTCTGTGAATCATTACCTTTTGGGATGAAGACACCCTTGTAGCTGCTCAGTCTGAACATGTTCTCTCTGCCCTGCCAAGGTGTCAGTGCTCCAGAGAGGCACTGGGGATGCCCTAATTCCAGAGATCACTGAAGCTGCTCCCAGCTTTTGAGCACGTACCCAAATGCTGACACAAGGGGAGGATGTGGGGCCAGGTTCTGCTCCCCACTCTGCTGGTCCAGAGGGGCCATAGGGCCGGTGAGCTGGGACGTGCCATGGGCAGGTGCAGGATCTGACCAGCTCTGTTCAGATGCCTGAAGAGGATTAATTCTCCTTCCCCATCCTTAACAAAGGACGCCTTTCCCTGGGCATCCTGTCCCAGCCCTGCCTTCCCACCACACATGCACTTAGCCTATTAGGATCTCTGCTGATTGCTTTCTTTCATTCCTCCCATACCTTTCACTACAGAAAATGGACTGGTAATACTTCTTTTATCAAAGAATTATGGGATTTAGGACCCAGATTGTACAAAGAGACTTTTGATAGCTGCTGGTAATCAAATCCCAATCGGCAGACACTTCTCTGCACCCTGTTACCAGAGAGGAATAAAGGAAAGGGATTTCTGATGTACTGTTTACTGAGCCTCTGGGAGATAGCATCGCTGGGCTATTTCATATTAGAAAAGGAAAGGAAAATAAAACAAGAAAGAAAAAACATGCAGACAAGAGAGGACAATATAGATGTAGATAAAAAGAAAAGAAACAGGTTCTTATAATTTTCTTATTGGTTAAGGAGATTCCAAAGCCATTATAGAGGATTAGCAAAAAGGTTAATCTGCTTTAGCTGTTCACTTGTCAAAAGTGAATTTATAGGGTTTGAAAATCCTTCCTATGGTGAAACAAGAAAAAAATCCCCCTTTCCCTCTTGAGCCCCTCCCTTCTGCAGGCAGCACAAGGTGATGGGAACAGGAACACTGGAAACCCTACAGCATGGCATTACTCTCCTCTGCCTTGCCCCTGCCTGTGTGCTGGCACCTGTGGGAGCTCTCATTTGGCAGTGCTTCTTCCCACTCCCTATCACCAGTGTGGGGTGCCTGTGATGGTGAGGAAAAGGAGGATCAGATCTGAGGGATGTAACCATCCTCCTGCACCTCTCTGCCTTACCTGGGACAAATCCTGGGCTCTTTCACTCATTGATATTGACAGCAGTCAGGGACCCCTGGCTGGATTTGGGCTTCCAGGCTGATTTCTAAAGCAGAACAGAGATGGAGGCTGCTGACAAATGTTGCCAAAAAATACAGTCTGGGGGCTTTCCATCCCCAAGGGAAGTGCTCAGCCCAGGATCCACATGTCAGTGCCCTCCTGGCCACCCAGTGGAGCACTGGTGCATGCCAGCTGTGTTTTCCTGGCTGCCCCTGCCGTGACCCATCCAAGCAAAGGATGCCCATCACTCACTCCAGAACCCCTGTGAGAAAGAACCCAGGGTAAAAACAATCCTTCAAGATCAAAAACAAGAAGCATTTTCTGTGTAGCTGAAATTCAATGGAATGTGCTAGTCAGGTGTTAAAACTATGTTTAATAAAAAACCAGAAGTCGTAAAATCATTGGATGGTTTAGACTGAACAGGCCTTTAAAGATGATCTTAAAATTGTGCCAATTAGAATTGCTAAACCCTGTGTCAACTAAGATTAAGAGCTCCAATAAACACATTTTGATTTGACGATAATTACAATAAACCTGTCTCTCTCCCCAAAGGCCATTTCATTGCACAGGAAGAAGTGGAATCCCTCCGGTGGGCAGTAGTGTTGTTAGTGATCCGGCTAGCAGGGATCCTGCAGTGGTGCTGGCTATCAGAGATGGTGTCCGTGGTGGAGCAGGAGGACTGTGGGGTACCAAACCTCCTCTTCCGCAATGAACCACGATGGAATCAGACAACTGCTTCACCCTGAAGCAACACAGCTGGCATTTCAGAGATCTTACACCGCCTCATGCTGTCCAAATCGCTCTGTGCTCGGCAGGCAGCGCCCGCTTTTCGGAAGTTCTGGCTTATCTTGCTTTTCCCGGACTACAGAAACAGTTTGGGATGATGATGCCTTTTAACCCTGGCCTTGCAGCCGGCGTGGGTCCCGGCTGGGGTCCCTGGGCAGGGGGGGAAGGGAAGGGAAGGGAAGGGAAGGGAAGGGAAGGGAAGGGA